CCTGTTTTTGCCTTTCTCTCATTTAGAAGATTATCCATATTCTCTCCCAGTAGACTCTGTAACTCATTCAAAATATCCATGGGTGCAGAGCTAGCAGGCAAATGTCCAAAATTTGAACCCGAGACCATCCAGTTCAGAGCCTGGACTCCCATTCGTTTCCCAGGCTGACTTTCCACCTTTGGCATCTTTCATGCCCCTGCCAGGGTGACCAGGTTTGAAGGGTAGAGGGACTGTAACTTTTATAAATCTGAGTACTCTTGTGTGAATGAAGGGGAACGACTGGGAAACGCCAATGGAATGAAGGAAAATGGACTGCCATAGCCAAGTTGCATTAGAAACTGGCTTGTCTTTAGGAAAGCCTATCCACAAGACATTTTCTGAGGTCTTTTATTTCAGTGCTACTCAGTGTTGCCCAAGGGCCTCTGCGTGAGATAAAGACAAAAATTGAGAGTGTGTAGAAACCTTTAGTAGTCCCATATCATCCAAGCAAAAGATTCTATATGTCCAAAAGTATGTCTGCCATGGATTGGAAATAAAAACAACCGGTTCTTCAAGACAAACAGTTCAAGAATCTTTAATTTAGTCCATTAGGATCTTGGTAGGTGTTTCCAGGTCTCCCTCATAAGGCTGAAGAATCATCCAGCGAAACCCAAGTCGACTGTCACCCTTGTCCAAATAAAACCTAAGTTTTCCCAAGGGCGTGACTTTGTTTTGCCCACTGCTCCATCCCTGGTTCCTAGAATCATGCCTGATGTTCAAGGAATATTTGTTGAATGACCAAAATGCACTCATTTCTCAGTGGGAAGTGCCCAAAATCTTGTCCAGGAGTTGCCCTTGTCCATTTTTCAAGTGGGCCTCATGACAACCCCGGTGATGGCTGGTCCTCTACACCTAGACCACCACCTCACCTTCCTCCCATCTCCACTCCTCACCCAGCCCAGACCTCCACCCCCACCAGGAAGAGAAGTAGGACAAATTATTGCCATTTATTCCCCCAGATGAGTTTCAGAATCATTTGGGCATATTTTCCCAACTGTTCCATTGAGATTCTGACTGACATTACACTAAGCATATAAACTAACAGGAAAAGATACACATCTTTACCACATTGAGTCTTTTCACGCATGAGCATGATATGTCTACTTATTTTCTTGTCTTTTTATTTTTATTTTTTTATGTTTATTTATTTTTGACAGAGAGAAACAGAGCACAAGCAGGGAAGGGGCAGAGAGAGTGTCTGTGTCTCCACACAGAATCCAAAGCAAGCTCCAGGCTCTGAGCTGTCAGCACAGAGCCCAACGTGGGGCTCAAACTCACAAGCTGTGAGATCATGACCCGAGCTGAAGTAGGAAGCTTAACCAACTAAGCCACCCAGGTGCCCCATTGTCTTTTTATAACTCGTAGTAAATTTTGTAGTTTTCATATACTTTCTGCATATTTATTGGTAAACTAATTTTAGGATGATTTATTTTTATAGTTGTTATCGTGTATGGGGTCTGCCTACTGTTTTGTTTTCTAATTCTTAGTATAAAGGAAGAAAGGAATCATTTTGGTAATATTTATTTTACATCTCTTCACTTTAAGTGTTGACTGATTTTCATTTGATTATCTTGGGTGTAATATCATAATATCAACAACTGATCATTTTATCGTATGCCATTTCCTTCCTCTAGCTGTACCTCTTTTTCAGCTCTTTTTCTTATTGCATTTAGGAGAGTAAATTCTTCTTAAATAAACTTTTTGGTTGGGGAGACATTTAAGATGCAACAGAAAAAATTATGAGAGTCTACAGGGATGCTGCCAATGTAGTACTTAGAGGAGATTTATTGCTCTTGATGCCTATACTTGGGAAGGGGAAAAACAAGAGAAACAATAAATTAAGTCAATACCTGATAAACTCTGTCCCCTTTAAGTTACAAACCAAGAGAGAGAAGAAAATGAAGTCAGAAACTTAAAATGGAGGAATGCAAAAAAGAATTGGTTAAGAAAAATATCCTTCACCATAAATAGTTTAAGAAGCACTAGTTTACTACAGTAAGGTCTTGGTAAGTACCTCTGGGTCTGCCTTATAAAGCTTAAGAATCATTAAACAAAAGCCACTTTATAAACAGACATTTTCTTTCAGCCAACAGACTACTCTCTAAAGTTCTTGAAGCCTGTAGGTCTTGAAAATAAAACTGATACCAATAATAGTCATTTTTGAACTTATGTTCCAATGATATATGCGAAATGAAATACAAAATTGTGATGAGCCACTATCTGCGTATGTTTTAAGAATGGTGGATTTCATGTGCTCAGGCAGTTCAGCCAGAGTCCTTGGTCATTCTTGATAAGAGTCAGAGCTATTCCTTGCATGCCCTATAAAAAAGAAAGAAAGAAAGAAAGAAAGAAAGAAAGAAAGAAAGAAAGAAAGAAAGAAAGAAAGAAAGAGAAAGAAAGAAAGAAAAAGCAAACCCAGTGGGCATTTCTTCTAGAGTACCTGCAGAAACCAGCTCCAGGAATTGCCCTGATGAACAGGATCGACCCAGTCTTCTTGAAGATACAGAGGCGGTGGAAACAGCCCTCGTGGTGCTTCATCAGCATGCACTAGAAGGTGAGCAAATGTCACTTATAACCTGCCTGTGTCAGTCCTTTGCTCAGTGAAGAAAATATCTCCCTGATGAATTTTGAAATTCTATGTTTCCCATCAGGAAAGCCAGGGTGGGAGGTTTCATTTGTACCTCTGGGGAGCTCTGGAACATGAAAGCAAATATATTTAATTAAATGTGCCTCTAGGTTGGTAACACTTCAGGATCTTGTCAAAATGAAACACGAGATCTTTTCTGGAACTTTTGGCATCTTCATCCAAGTATCCTCAGTATTCTGAAACAAGTATGATTGGCCAAATATGAGGAATAAGATGTTTGCAAAAAGGAGCAAAAATATGTGAGAAAGAGGAAATAAACATAATTTCCAAGAGTGAAAATCTAATTGCCACAATTAAAAACTCACTAGATTATTTAAATAGCAGATGAGAATAAGCCAAAGAAAGAACTGGCAAACTAGAAGCTGGATTTCAGTAAATTATGCTTAATACTTCACCGAGAGACAAAAAGTTGGAAAATATATGTTAAGAGATGTGGAGGATAGAATGAAAAAAAGGCTAACAGTTGTCCAATTAGAGTTCCAGAAAGAGAAAATAGAGAAAATTGGATTGTGTTAGTTATCAATAACCATGTAACAAATTACCCTAAAATTCAGCTGCTTAAAAACAACAAACAGCGGTGCCTGGGTGGCTCAGTTGGTTAACCAACCAACTCTTGGTTTCAGCTCAGGTCATGATCTCACAGTTTTGTGAGTTCAAGCCCCACATTGGGCTCTGCGTTTGCAGCACAGAACCTGGTTGGGATTCTCTCTCTCTCTCCCTCTCTGCCTCCCAACTCAAGCTGTCTCTTTCTCAAAATAAATAAATAAACTTTAAAAAATAAAATAGCAAAAACAACAAGCAGTTGTTTCTCATGGTTTCAGAGGGAAGTTTCAGTTTTCGTGTCAGGAATCTGAGAGCTGCTCACCTGAGTAGTTCAGCATCTCACAGGAGTTCAGGGTCTCACAGGAGGTTTGAGTCTTGCTGTCAGCCAATGCTGCAGTCACCTAGAGTTTGACTAGTTCAATTAGTCAGAATGATATAAAAATTATAAACCCGTATGTAGCTACTAACATGGCCTCCTAACATACAAAGCCAAAAAATTAACGAAGTTGCAAGGGGAAGTTGACAAATGCACCATAAATGGGGGGAATTTTAACACACCTTCTACACAATTAATAGATAAAGCAAACTATTATAATCATGGGAATAAAGAATATTTGAACAAACACAACTAATAATTTATGTAATGGGGACAAATTAAACCCTGCACACATTATGATCAGAGAACATATTCTTTTCAAGCATACGTGGAACATTGATGAAAGCTGACCACATATCATACCATAAAAAGATTTTCAGTAAATTTCAGTCAGTATACTTCAAACCATATTCTATTTGTTCAATGCAATTATATTTGGAATAAGTGAAAACAAATATTACAAGAAAATAGATTTGGGAAAAGTCATAAACATAATTTATTAAATAATCAAAAGATTAAGAAAAATCATAATGAAAATTAGAATAAAGTTAATACTAGACTGCAACTCTGATAAAGACAAAAGCTATGTGTGTTTAATAACTTTACATTCTAGAATTTAGCAGGGACCTCATCAGTAATTGTCAAATAAATATCTGAATGGATTTGAGTCATAAAAGTTAAAAAATATTGCATGTAACTATTTATTACATTCTTGTTGCTGCCTGCATTTTTCTGAGGTAATTTTAAAAAATTGTCCTCTCACACCTGTCAGAATGGCTAAAATTAACAACACAAGAAACAAAAGGGGTTGGCAAGGATGTGGAGAAAGAGGAACCCTCTTGCACTGTTGGTGGGAATCCACATTGGTGTAGCCCCTCTAGAGAACAGTATGGAGATTCCTCAAAAAACTATCAACAATAGCCAAACTATAAAGAGAGCCCAAATGTATATCGACTGATGAATGGATAAAGAAGATGTGGGGTGTGTGTGTGTGTGTGTGTGTGTGTGTATGTATATATATATATATATATATATATATATATATAGGAATATTACTCAGTCATCAAAAAGAATAAAATCTTGCCATTTGCAACAAGGTAGATGGCGCTAGAAGGTATTATGCTAAATAAGATAAGTCGAACAGAGAAAGACAAATACCACATGATTTCACTCATATGCAGAACTTAAGAAACAAAACAGATGAACATATGGAAATGTGGTGGGAGAAGAGGAGAGAGGGAAATAAACCACAAGAGACTCTTAACAATAGAAAACAAGCTAAGGGTTGATAGAGGGAGATGGGTGGGAGATGGGCTAGATGGGTGATGGGTATTAAGGAGGGTATTAAGGTATTAAGGAAACACTTGTTGTGATGAGCACTGGGTGTTGATGTAGGTGACCAATCACTGAATTCTACTCCTGAAACCAATATTGCACTCTATGATGGCTACCTAAAATTTAAATTTAAAAAATGTTTATTTTAAAAAGTCCCCTAGATGTTGTTATATTGCGAGATGTCCCTAGCTGAGTTCTTTAAAAAGTCAGCTTGCAGGAAGATTAGTTAGATTATTTTTTTCCCCTTCAGTTTTACGGAGACGTAATTGACAAGTCAAAATTGTATATATGTAAGGTGCACAACTTGATGTTTTAATATACATATACATTGTGAAATGATCACCACAATCAAGTAATTAACATATTACTTTTAATTTGTTTAAATTAAACAAATTAATTTGGTACCTTCTTTTTAATTTGTGATGAACACTTATCATCTACCCTCCTAGCAAATTATAGGTATAAAAGTACAAAATGAAGTATTGTTAACTATAGTCAATGTGCTGTACCTTAGATCTCCAGAACTTATTCATCGTGCATACCTGAAACTTTGTAACATTTAACCAAACTGTCTCCCATTTCCTCTATCCCCTCTGCCCCCAATTACCTGGCAATCACCGTTCTGCTCAGTGTTTCTATGAGTTCAACTATTTTAGATTCTACAGATAAGTGAGATCATACAGTATTTATGTTTCCGCATTTAGCATAATGTTCTCCAGATTTACCCATTTGTCACAAATGGCAGGATTCCTTTCTTTGTAAGGGCCAAATAATATTCCATTGTACAATGCGTGTAATTTTTGTAATGACCATAACAGGTTGAAGCAACTATTTTCATGAAATCTGTTTTTAAAAAGAAAAAAATATTAATTATAAAATAAAGGAAAACATTAGGAACAATCTATTTTCACCTGGATACAACTACACACATAAAAATGCTATTGTTTCAGAAGGTGAATCATATATCATAGTGAGTGAAACGGCATGAAAATGTTACATTCAGTTAAATCTCCACATTGTCCCTGTGTACTTATCTTCATAAATTCTACAATTTTTATCAGTTCCCAAGGAAACACTGGCATAAATATTTCTGAACCAACTACCTATGTGCTCAGGAGAGGAAATAGGACCGAGTAATGAGCATTTGTTCTAGCTGAAGATGTCTGAAATTGGCTGGAAATGTGCCTTTTTTTTTTTGCATTCTGTAATCCAAGCTTAATTTTTTTAAGGATAGCAGGGATATCACTTGCAAAACAGAAATGGAGGTTTATCTTTCACAGTCTAAAGTATTCCAGTAAATCATAAATCAACTGGTCATTTCTCTATTTAATGATTTACCACCTTATCAAGAGCATCTCCTTGTTAGCTTTTTATGAGGCTTATCATCTAGAGCCAGTCTCCAAAATTAGAGGCTAATAAATTATTAGCTACATGTCTAGATGTGCAACAGCTGACTGAGGAGTAATAAAAGATCCCTCCTTCCTTACCATTCAACTGGGTAATTAGTTTGTATTCACCAGCACAATGTTGTAAAGATCTGGAAGCGATTCTATTCATGCATTCAGTACAGGCAGCTGAGGGGAAGGTCTGGTCAAAACAGCTTTGGAGAAAGAAGCTCAGTAATATTTGACTGTTTCTTCTGATCACATTTAGAAGTCTCAGACCTCTACCTCCCTCTGTCATCCGTCTGTAGACAGAGGCAGATATTGATATTTTTATTTACAATTCTGAAAACCATGGGCTTTTCAAGCATGCTGTCAAATTTCACCATTCCTGATTCGGGTTCCACTAATTTCAGAAGTCCAAATAATGCTAGCAATAGCTGCAAAAAGGCCACTTTTTAAAAGCAGATCCTTTCTTTCCTGGTAAATTTGCAAGTAAATTATGTAAATATATTTTAAGGGAAGAAGATGTTTTCTATTCCCTTAGACAGTAAAAGTTTTCATGCATCTGAGAAATATCCTTTCTAGCCCAATCTAGATACAGATAGAGTAGATAGCTAGGTAAACAGATGGAAGGAAGGAAGGAAGGAAGGAAGGAAGGAAGGAAGGAAGGAAGGAAAAAAGGGAAGGGAAAGGAAGGGAAGGGAAAGAAAGAAAGAAAGAAAGAAAGAAAGAAAGAAAGAAAGAAAGAAAGAAAGAAAGAAAGAAGAAAGAAAAGAAAAGAAAAGGAAAAAGAAATGAAAAGAAAGAGAAAGAGAAAGAAAGAATCTGCAGATCACTAGGGACCTAGGACCTACCATCATTCTTGTTTGTAGATCTAGAAACTTGATACGCTTGATTTTCTTGGGATGATCAGCCTCCTGGAAGCTGACTCAGCCTAACAATCCCACAGAAGAATATTTATGTTGATATTTACAGTCATTTTAAAATTTCACTGGAAGAATACTCCCTGACCAAGGTCTAAGGCCAATCGCCTGCCTTCTTATGGAAAGACATATTCAACAGAAAAGTTTGGTCAGTGGAGAAAGAATTTGAACCCAAGGAGTTGGTATTCTGTGGCAGAGGTCACTATTAACATTACAGAAAAAACAGAACAGAGTAACTAACGTAGGTGAGCTGATGGCCGAAGCAAAAGGTTACAAACAGCCCTGCATTCTCCGGGTCACCACATTCAAGATTCAGTCCAGAGATCTGAAGGGGCAGAAACTCAGTGCTGATGGTGCAGTCACGGAAGATCAACCAAAGAGGGAATAACCCTTGTGGATATCATTCACAATAGCTGAGTGCATATGGCAACACTCGCCACAAAATGTTTCCTGCTTTTCACTTTCCTGATACATGGTAGGATTATCTTCCCTCCCACCACCATTGATATTAGACATGCTCTTTAGTTTAGCCAAGAAAATATAAATAGAAGTGAAATGTGTCATTTCCAGGCTGAAGCTCGAAGAAGCAGGATGTTATTTGCCTGCTATGGTTATTATGGATGCACAGAAAGGACTACAAGGAGCAAGCAAGGCCCTGTGTCAACCTTTGTTGGGCATGTGTGTGAGAAAGAAAGAAATAATTGTTGGACTAAGCCCCTGAGACATTGGGGGTATTACTGAACATAATCCAACCTACCCTTCCTGTTGTGGTATATGTCCTGAAATTAAGAAATATTTTACATTAAGGCTTCTTAGAGTCAGGGTACATTGATAACCTAATTAATACTTAGAAGGTGACTTGCTTTTTATATAATCAGAACAAAGAGAGCTGAATAGTGTTTTGAGATGCCTGGGAAAGCATAATGGCCCCCTCCTGCACTGTAATAGAGCATACTCTCTGGTAATGGCATTAGATCCACCTGCCAAACACCTCATTTACTCATTCATTCATTCATCCATCCCAAAATATGTATAGAGTGCTTACTACATGCCAGACACTGTGCTGGATCCTGGGGCTATGAAAGGATTGAGACAGTCCCGCTCCTTACGTATGGACTTAGCCTCTTGACTCTCATTCTTCTAGATTCCATGTAGACCATGTACTTTAAACCAGCACATATTCCTTTATCATAACCGTTTAGTATCAAACTGCCACTTTCCTTAGTCATGTTTTTGTTCTAAACACACACTCTACATCAGTGCTTCCCAAACTGTCATGTTTCTTTTCTGCTCAATTCCAGACTAGGGCTTAAGTAAAATACTATACAATAAAAATAAGTTACCAGAAAAATATTTCGTGTGATTGAATGCCAACACAATGGCGATAAGCTATAAAAGTTTCTAAGTCATTACTTGCAGTTTCGGGACTTCTTTCCTTCCAGGTGGACAAAAGTTCACCGACCATCGCTGGTCTGTGGACTATTCTCTGAGAAGGACAAGCAGTGAGGACCTAAGCCAACTAAGGTTTCTGTTTTCATTTGTAAAACCATCTGCCTCTTAATTACCAAAGTTAAAAAGTTTCATGTGCTGGGTACCTCTTCCGATGAGCCCCCATTGCCTATTCAGCTAACCACTTGCATCATTCTTTAGTTAATGTTTTTTCCAATCACCTCACTTTTTATATGGATACATTTTTTAAAAATGTCTACTCCATGTAAATAGAAAATCTGTTTCACTTACAATAAATAAGACGTAACTTACAATAAATAAGTGAATAATAAATGAGTGAAAATCTGTTTCACTTACAATAAATAAGACGTGCAAAGAAGGGTTATGAATAAGTAATTATTCAAGCCTAGGGAAAGAGAGGCGGTCGCCTGCTCCGAGGAGAACTTAAATCTTACTAATGTGGAACTAAAACTTCCTACTTGACATAATCAGAAAACTGAGAGAAAACTAAAGAGAGCTTTTACTCATTATGTATTTCAGTGCTATGTAATCCTCTATTTATATTTCCATCTAAAACCATTTTAAGGACCAAACAGTAGTCTCTCTATTCTTCAGAAAACAGGGCAATATTTTAACTTGCCCAATCTGAGGGCTATTCCAAGTTGTCCACCACGTCTACAGTCACCAATCTGGTGGTCATAATCACACGGATAACTGAACACAAGCATCGAATGTCACCGCTTCCTTTCCTTGGTAACCCTGTCATAGGGACTACTGGCGCTGTAGGCCATAGGCTTACTTCAATTCTGGAAGTAACACTCTCCTCAGGTCTAAACAGTCTTTATGAGATTTTTTTTTTTTTTCAGCAGACCTCATGCCCAACATGGGGCTTGAACTCACAACCCAAGATTAAGAGTCTCATGCTCTTCGAACTGAACCAGCCAGGCGCCGCTATGAGACTTTTGGGAGTCCGACCATGAGTACCCAACTAACCTGTATTTTCTTCCTTCTTCCAATAATGATCAGTTTCTTTTCCTGATGAGACAAGAAAAATAGTTTTTAAAGACTGTAATTCCCCCTCAGGCTCCTTTGTAGCTACAAGGAGAAAGATTAACTCTTACCCACTTATTTTTTACTGCTTTAAGTGACTTAATCATAATCCACAATTTTTTAAAAGAATATTTTGCATGGTGGATACACAAAAATATTTACAGAATCCACCAGCAGTTAGATGCCATGATTAAATTAGGCGATTCACAAAATTCACGTGGTTTTAAAAAAAATCATGATCCACAATTATAATATTGGTCATATCAGACAGACCTTAGAGGTTTGGCTTGGCCTCTCTGTTTTCACGTACCTACAACACTATCCAACTCTGAGCATCACTTTGACGTCAGGGAGCAGGAATTCTAAGGACAGAAGAAGAGGCATTTAGCCTGAGTTTACAATTCAAGTTGTGAATTCTCCGTTAATTACCCCTAACTAAACTCCAGACCCAGGCTGCTGTGTGCACTAGCTGCAAATACGCACAGTGTGAATATTTAAGTTTGTGTGATATTCCCAGAGACGTAAATATGAGCTGAATCTTTACAACAACGGAGAGATCCTTCCGGAGGCATCGCTTACCTAATGTTGACCTCTTATCAAAGAATTTTTTTCCCCAACTAACTGTTTCAAATAAATGCTAACCATACAGGGTCTCTTCTCTCCCTTCAGGATATACAAACCACAGAATTCCGATGACTCACCCCAAAATAGCTTATGAATATGCCAGGGGCGGAAGGGCATGCTGTTTGGTTCTCTAAAACTTCCTGCCAAACTGTAGAAACTGAACATACACAGATATTTGGGGACTAACTGTGAGTAATAGTGAGAATTTAATCCCCTTTAGTCTTCTGAGTTAGCAACAGCTTGCCTAACATGTCCGGTTACATCCTGTTTGCTATGCATGTGACTCCTCAAAAAAATAATAATATAATATTAATAGCACAATGTTTCATTGTTAAGACTGCTATTATCTATGTCAATGGTTCTCAAACATTGGCAGCCATTTGTAGACTAAGGTCACTTCTTGGAAGAGCTATAAATTCGTGGCTTTATGAAACAAACATATTATTATTATGTCTTTGAAATAAAAAGCCAGGATTCAAGGTATGGAATTTTAAGGCACCCAAGTCCTTAAAAGGGAAAGGCAGTTATGTATATTGATTAGAATCTTGAGTTTGAATCAGTTCTTTCGCCACCTAGGCCACATTTTGCAGGTACTTGGCCTAAGTCCTAATTTCCCCATATGTAAAATGAAGAGAATGGTAATACTGTCCATATTTAAGGTTAGAATTCTAGGTCCATACAGTGGGGATTAAATAGGGAACATCCCTAAATAAGGACTACTGCTAAGTAGCCCAATAAATAAATTATCTAGTGCCATCTCTTTTCACAAATAAAGAATCTGAAGACCAAAGCTACGAAGTGCCCTATGAACAGCCACTCACTCCTCACAGCAATGCCAAGGAAAAGCCCTATAAATGCTGTGGGTAAAAACGGGCTCTGAATCCGGTCAGCCCAAATTCAAGCCCCAGTTTTCATTCTTGCGAGCTGTATAACCTTGGGCAAGTCACTTAATTTTTCTGTGCCCCGATCTTCTCATCTATTAAATGTTAAAATAATATTTAAATATTAAAGCAATAGTAAAGTTTATTAAAATATAATTAAAATAAGAAGGGTATTATTATTAAATAATATTAAACTATTAAAATTATTATATCAATATTAAAATAATAATAGTATTTTTCTCACAGGGTTGTTAGGACAGCCTAAGAATGTAACATGTAATAGTGCCTGGCGTGTACTGACTAATCAATAAATACTACTACACCGATATGGAAAAGTTCTAGTTCTTCTAAAAACAGATTTTAGAGTAAAATACACGTCCACAATGGCAGGCTTGAAAAAGCTATATCCATAAAAGCAACCCAAACCTAAAAAAAATAAAATAAACCACTCAAAAATTTATTTAATGCAATTTACAAGGTCATCGGAATACGTACCGATGTCTTTTCAGATTAAGGTATGTGTCTTCTTTAACCACGTTTAGGTGTCATATTTCCCTTCTCTTATCGAGAAAGGATACCAAAAAACAACTTAATATTTCAAACAACAGCCACAATTGTTCAAGAGTCATTTTGATCGGACTTTGAAAAGAATGCCGGTATCCAGTTGCCCTTGACATTTGTGGAGGAAGTATAAGGCAATGGGAAAAACACCAGACTCCCCTTTCCAGTCTAGGCTTTGCCATTTAACAAGCTATAGACAAGCTACTCGATCTCTGAGTCGCCATCTATAAAATGGGGACAGCTTCTGCCTTGTTACACATACTACACGGAAACAAGTGTGAGACATGTTTCATAAATAGACTTTGTTCTATTTATATGCATGATTTGTTATGGTACTTTACCTGAGTAGTTTGTTCAAAACTGTTCTGCAATAGTTAAGCGTCAGAAATATACTTTCCTTTGCTTATTACATACTCAAAGGACACAGAGACTCTCATTTTAAGGAGATGTGTAGAAGAGAAACAGGAGAAAACCTTTCAATCTCAGAGAAAGAAAGAATTTGAAACTTACCAGTATTGACACGTGACAAAGAGGCACACAAGACTATATACTTCTCCATCTCTTGACAATAATTCGTACCCATAATAGACGGTTAAGATGTATCTGTTAAAAGAATGGGCAAGACATGAATTAAAGGATTTATGGTGTCCTAAATTATTTTAGGATTTTAGGCTTTATTGTGTCTAAATTGACACAATTAGTATACTCTCGTTGACACCACTTTATCCCTACTCCCACCCAATTAGTCCCTGATTTGAAAATCACTGACCCAGGCACAGCCATTGATGACCTCCGAGAGCTATATGCCTATAACTGCTAGCACCGTAACAAAAGGTTTAAAATGGGACCGTGGAATCAATAAAGAATTTCTCCTAAACTCATCATTTGTTTTCTAAGCAATAGACTATACTTTGTCTTTGAATTGTCTTAAAATTCTGCAAGTGATTTCAATCCTGAATTGAAACCAAGAGGTCAAAGGACCTGAGAAACCATACTTCCTACCCTCATAGACGTCATTTCCAAAAGTGAGAGAGAAAAAAAAAATATCTGCATGACCTTTGTACTCCATTTGTCTCTTGAAGCACCATAAAAACATGAGAAAGAACGTTTTGTGATGCGGGATGGGGGCCTGGACAGGTATGGACCCTCACAGCTCCTCACACCTCCTAGGAAAAAACCTGCTGAACAGAACTCTGCTTGAAGACTTCAGGGAGCATCACAGTTCAGGCTCCTCCCTCCCAGTCACACGGGACCCAAAGATCAGATGGAGACTGGGCTTCAGCGTTGCACGTGTTTGCTGGCACAGCGTCCTCAGTACGTCAGAGCCTCACCTGACACTGACTCATTGCTGGGTGGAAAGCCAAGGCCTAATTGTGTTGGTCATATGTAACTTGCCACTTCCAGCCAAGTATTCCAAGCCCTTTCAGAAATAGTCCACCAACTTGCTTTCCCACTATACCCTGGAATAGACCCCACAGACTCCTGAATTCTTTGCCTCTGAGAGTTTACTCCTGCCTCTTCTGATGGCTGCCCCCCCCCCCCCACGCCCGCCCGCCCCTGCCCTTGCCCTGTTACTGCCGACCTCTGTGTCATACTTAATGCAGAGGCTGGGAGGCTCCTCTTTGTGGGCTCTCAATAAATATTCATTCCACTCAATTCAGTCACTCTCAGAGATAAGAGGCAGCAAGGATTACCAGATTTCCTAAATACATCTGAAAACCCATTGCCTGGGGTCAGGGTGACAGGAGGTTGCTTCTTTACTGAAAAACCAATTTTCTCAAATGCACAGCAGTAAGCCTCAGTACAGATACTGTGTCTTACTCGAGCTTTATACAAAATTCAACACGTCTGTCACAGGAGCTTATGGCTTCCAAGGCAGAAAATCTAAATCCGTAACAAATTTCTCCCAAAGTAATAGATGGTTCAAAGAGTCGAACCCAACACGAAATACGTATTGGACAAAAATAGCAAAGAGTCAGCTCTTATTTCTTGATATTTCAAACCATATGTTCACCCATTTTCCATGGTAGATTCCTTGTCCTATTTGTTTGTGTACACACTGTGCCTGCCATGTGCCAGGAACATACATATTTTGGATTTTTTTTTTGGTCACAGAAATAAAGAACAGATGGGTATGGGATTGCGAGAAATCAGGAAAAGCAACTGAAAAAGGAAAGAAAAAAGAAAGACTAAACCTGTGGCAAATCAACATTTATTCTATGAGCATGAGCACTTTAGTATGATTTTTGTGTGAATTAACATCTTAAGTCTAAAAAGGAGCCTCTGGAGCCCAATTCTGTATACAGTGGAAAAAGAGACATAACACCTAAGCCTTGAACCCAAGAGAGTAAATTGGGAACAGGAATTTTCAACACACACTGTTAAAAAAAAAAAATACCAAAGTTATTTATGATAAAAGTACTGGACATGTGGCCAAACAAAGCTAATTTACCCAGGACTGGCATATTCCACATTTCTATAATTTGAGAGGCAAGAAAGGCCATGATAGGCAACAGTACAACGTGTGTGTGTGTGTGTGTGTGTGTATATATATATATATATATATATATATATATATAAACAAGCCAATAAGAAAAAGTAGGTGGGCCTCAAAAAATTGTGGGGGGGGGGGACTTAAACAAAATAGAAAAGAGA